CACACATATATGTTAAAGAATAGATTATCAAACCCTAAATAACTGGTGTGTAATGATCAAAATGAGCGTTTAGTATAATGTCCCAGATACCCAGCTAACTGCCATCTTCATTCTTTATAGCATCATAGATTACAGTACCCCTAAACCATTCCGCACAACAAAGCAACAGATTCTTCAGGATACAGTAAAATACATACAGTACACCAAAACCTATTTTTAGCACAACACAAAGTGGTTCAAATTAAGATGGTCTAGAAAGGTCAAAATGAACCATTCCAAACTATTTTTATATTAAATGTCCAAATTTCTTTGTTAACAAGTATGAGTGGGAACAAAAAAATGGCTTATTCTTAGTGAAATTTTTTGCATGCTTTCACATTAAAATAAAAAAAAGTAAAACCTAGCATTTGACTACTTGACCTAGAACTGCATACATATATTGTACCATGTCTATGTCTTGATTTTAATACTGTATTTAACGTTAGGTTAGACAAGATGTACCCACTGAGATAAGTCAGGCAAAAATATTAAAGAGGATAAAAATAAAAATATCTCTAATTTCTTAGTAAACACCATCAAACACGCTTCCAACATACCGGTTTCACTACTGATAGAGAGCTAATTTCTAGACTCAGCTGTCACTATTTATACTAACAAATTCAACTTTGCAGTAACAAGTTTTCCTTCTTTTGTAAACCTGCAAAAATAAGGATACTATGTTTTACCTACCTTCCAACATCACTGTAAAGACCAAATGTAAATTTTATAGTACTAACATTTACTAAACACAAAATATATTTCATTGAGAATCGTTACTTGAATAACCAAAAGCTATGCAGTACAATTTACCAGTGTAGCATATATGAAAAGATTCCAACATTATAAAGAACTATGAAAATTATCCCTTTTGAATAATGCCTTCAAAATTGTAATATAAAATGCTTAGGCCCACAAGTGTTTCAGATTTTGGAAGAGTTTTTTTTTTTTGGGGGGGGTACTATTTGCAAAGACCATTATCACTTGAGCACACCTCACTGAAAAGCTGCAAGTACTTAAGGAAACAGGACACTCGACTTGACTTCAGATTTTCAGATGAGGAATGCCCAACCAGTAATAAACTTGTTTGAAAATTAGGAGATGAAAATACATTTCAAAATATCTCCTTAGACTGGGCATAGTGGTGCATGCCTGTAATACTAGCTACTCAGGAGGCTGAAGGAGGATGATCGTCATGGGTTTGAGGCCATCCCGTGCTACACAGTGAGTTCAAAGCCAACCTAAACTACACTGCAAAAACCTGTCTCAAGCCAGGGATATAGCTCAGTGGCACAAGCGCCTGCCTGGCAAGTACAAGGACCCAAGTTCGACTCCTAGTACCAAAAAAAAAAAAAAAAAGAACCTGTCTCAAAAAAAAAAAAAAACGAAACAACATACCAAGACAAAAATCCTTAGATAAATGCTGAGAAGATTAAAAAGCAAAACAACTTCACTACGTAGCAGCTATAAATTTAAAAGGTATTTAAATTTTGTGGACCAATGTAATAGAATACCTACAAAAATACCCTTCACTCTCATAGTAATTTGTGCAATTATTTTAAATTTAAAGTTACTTAGTAAAACAATATTTAAAACTGATCTTTAAAACAAGAGTAGGAACTAAGGAAGCAAGATTCTCTTCTGCCTTGTTTTTTAACTTAATGAAAACACAAAGCAAAAAGCCTGTAAAAGTACAAATTTAGTCTCGACTGTGTGCTCATTTATTTGAGATCTAAGTAACAATTACAGACTTTTTTGTTGTTTTGAGACAGGGTCTACCTATCTAGTCCAGCCTTACCTTAAACTCACTAGGGAGCCCAGACTGGTCTTGAACTCATGGCAATACTCCCGCCTCAGCCTCCTTAATGTTCAGACATGCACCATTATACCTGCTATAACATTTTTGTTTTTGGTTATTTTTAAACAATACATTGTATGTTTATACAAACAAATCAGCATACACACAAATTTCACCAAGGTACCTTTTTAAGTATGGCTTCACATAACCTCTCATTTGTAAGAAACAATCTATATTCCCTTTAATAAATTCTAAAAGATAAAAATCTCAAACTACATGCTAAATTGCAGTAACTCTTACTGTAGTTAATATAAAGATCATTGAAGGTTAAAAAATAATCCTCAAGCTGGGTGTGGTGGGATAGTTATCCTGGCACTTGGGAGGCTGAGACAGGAGGATCAAAGTGAATGTGAGGCCAGCCTGGGCTATGTAAGTGAGATCAAGGCCTGCCTGCCTGCCTGCACTACACAATGAGACCCTGTCTCAAAACAAACCAAAACACAAACAAAAACAATCATTAGCCCCTGCTTTTCCGACAGTGTATCCTGAAGTATTTCTACACATTATTTCTGAAAATAGAAAATCCAACATAGTAAGAAGATCCAAGACACTAAGAAAGAAATCCTGTGATTACTACAAAAAAAGACACCAAAAAACAAAACAAAACAAAACAAAACCCACTATGATGCCAGGAAAGCCCAACCTTAAAACTTTAAAAAATTTCATATCTGCTTAACTTGATTTTGTAAGATCCAAGCTATACATCATTGCATGTGGGCTTCCACATATCTAACGGTCATTAAATTTAAAAAAATGCTACAATGAAAAAATTTTGAAACAAGTAAATGAACAATACAGTAATAGTTCTTACTGTAAGTTCTTACTTGTGCATGCCTGAGAGCACAAATAATCTAACTCACTTGCATATGATTACTGACAATGGTTGGGGTTATATATTTGAATGTTTATACATACTTAAATTTAAAGGTAAAAATGTGCGGTAACTCATAATGGTAATTCATAATGCCTATGAAATCACACATACACACTTTAAAAACAAAATGAACTCTGAATTCTAGAATGGAAATATTTTATGGTATAATTCCTTCATAAGGAATATGGCAGCCAGGTGTAAGACATAATATAGGCAGAGATGAATTTATAGTTAGTTATTAGAGCAAAGCTCTAGTAGATCAGCTGCTAGAAACAAACTAGAAAGTGAGGCTTAACTTATCAAATGTCTACATTAGAAAAGTAAGTTTCCTACACTGGGATCTAAAGTATCAACAAAGAAACAAATAAAAGGAAGCTAAGTCACCAAGCACACGGAGTTCACATGACTGAAAAGCAAAACAAAAAAAAATTACAGTAAAACTACTAAACCACCACTAACTATAAAAAAGTCAAAGCATTTAAGAATAGCTTCAAGGTCAAGCATCACATGTATCTTTACTTCCAGGAGAAACATAAACTGACACATAGTGGACACTCCATCTGTTGAACAAACAAGCAACACAATGTTCCTGGTATTATTTCACCTGTAGAAGAATTGACTTGGGTATGATTCACTGGAAATGGATGAAAGCATTTGCAGAAAACTTTCCTTGATTTGTAAACTGCCTTCTTTCTAGTTTTGGGGATGGACTGATTGGCCAGTCACCAAGTAAGAGCTGGAGTTAAGGGAGGCTGCATGCCTATAACCCTGGCACTCAAAAGGCTGGGTAGGAGGATGCACTGAATTAACAGGCCAGCTTGGGCTACACAGTGAGAGCCTGCATCCAATACACAAAAAATACCCCACACATATAAAATAAAAATCTGAACCTATCTACAATGAGATGCGGTGCCACATCCTATCTTACCATAATCATTAAAATTTTCAAAATACATAAAACAGTATAGTATAGCTAATACCTACCGTACAAAAGCTAATGAATGAAATCCATTATAGAGTAGATGATAAACAGTATCATCTCAAGTTCTATCCAACACTATGGAAAATTAACCCACATAATGAAAACATTATTAGTTTCATTTTGCTACCAAACAACTTCAAACCCACCTGCTCCTCTTGCAGTGGTCTTTTTGTATATGTAGCACAAAACTATAGCTATATTCAACAAAGAACTACTTTCCTCTCATTTAATCCAAATTACTCCACCCTAATGCAATCTTCTGACCATTAATAATCTTCAACCCATTAATTATGTAGGGGAGGCCAATGTTTCCCAACATATGCTCACAAGATAAAGCAGGTTTTCCTAGAAAGCCAAACAAACAAAAACAAACCAAGGCCAGAAGATGCAGGCAGGGTAGCTTACAGGGCAAGCTAAGTACTGAGAAGCTAGCTGGTGACAGGGAAAAAAACACATGGTACTCTATTAAAGTAGTTGCCTTGGAGGCTTTCAACTAAATTGTGTAATTTACTCAAATATTAGCCCTTCAAGCACTATGAAATCTTAAGACTTGAATAAAATATTGATGTTCTAAATCACCTTAGTGAAATTAGTCTGCTCCTTAATATATACTTTAGAAATGAAAGCTACTATTTTGGAAATTTTGAGCAAATCCAGTCTGAATATTTACTTACTCTTTTTCCTACTACAAAGAGCTTGGGGAAGGACATCAGCACTGTGTAACAGAAATAAGGCTAAGTTCTAGAAGTTGAATATTTCAGTAACCACAAACAGAAATTACCTTAACAAGACCCTGGAGAATGTTAAAGTAAGGCTTTAAATGTTTATGACGAAAATCAAAATTTTGGGGCTGGGGAGATAGCTCGGCAGCACAGTGCCTGCTTGGCAAATATAAGATCATGAGTTTAATTCCCAGTATCAAAAAAAATTTAATTTTTTGAATTACACAACGGTCTTCACCTGGGAAATGTTTTGAAAAGCCTGTTTAAAAATGTCCTCTATCTCTTCCATTTATAAACATTGGTAGACTGAATTCATAAATATGTACACTGCCTATTATCAGGCTCTCAAAGTCCATGCCCATGTGAACATCTCATTCTTATAGTAACTTATGTATTACTCAAAAAATAAACCACATTGATAACATAATCACACAGTAACTTCAAGCTGGAAATTTTACTATGTTGTTTTATACACAGCTACCATTAAAAATAAATACATGTAAAAGTTTCAACAAGAAAGCTACTCACCACCTTCCCTCTCTCTAACTCTGTGAGTATGCACATTTTTGGCCTTATTGTGACCTGTGCTGTCACTGTATTTGTTTTCAGGACTATCAGATCTCCGCAACATTTTATTCGGTGGTGAAGGATCTGCGGCGTCTCGCATCTTTTCATGTCTGTGATCACCACTACTGGGGTGACTCTTCGATGAATACTTAAGTGCCTGTAAAACATCACCCCCCCAAAAAACGAGAATTGAAACTTTAAACTCCGTTCCCTAATCTGATCATACATTCTTGTGCATTGTTTTCATTCAGTTTTATGAACTTCTATCAATAAAAACTTGCCTTTTTAATTCTGCCCTTCTAAGACATAAATGCGTGTTACTGTAAGACTCCTGATAGTATCAAATGTAACTACAAAAAGAAAATAAATCCGCTACATTCTCTTACAAACACAAGAGATCAAAATTTCTGGGGCATATCTTAAATCCCTTTTTTTGAAAAGTTTAATTAGGGCTGGCAAGCGCAAGGTTGTGGGTTTGATTCCTGATACCAAAAAAAAAACCACAAAAAAAACAAAAAAAGAGAAAAGTTTAATCAGAAGAAAAAACTTCATACTACTCTAAAAAATTTTTCTGCTGTACAACTGATTTACACAGACCCATGTATGGTTACACAAACCTATAAAAAAAGCGACTCTCCATCCCTTTAATTCCAATAAAGCATTTCAAAAGCCTACACTTTTGCAGGTGTGTAAAACAAAATTTTAACACTGGCCGAATAAATATTGCTCAAATATTTGCAATGTTTCTAAGAAGGCATAATGGAACTTAATGAAATTCTTTCACTCTAATGGTTTAGTTTTATTTTACATACACCTTCAGACAACCATGATACACCACTCCCTTACAATGAGTTTGTGTTTTAGGAATAGATTCATTAGTACTTAATATGTGATATATGCAAATACTCCATAGTGGACAATGTTTTAACCTCAGGACACCTAAGGCTTTTAATGGGAGCTTTAACAACTTATGCTGGACAGTAACGAAACTATCAAGTTAGAAACCTGCTCTCTTATCTTTTAAGTGATTAGATGCAGAAAGTATGCCATTCTGTTGTCATCTGATAGCACTTCTGAGTCTCGGCCCCACTTTATTAAAAGTTTTACTTACAGCAACTACAAAAAAAATCTACATAAGTAGAACCATCTAAATTAGAATGAAAGTATCCAAAGATTTTAATTTTTATTTAAACAAAGGCATAATCTTTCTTTTAAAAGACAGTTACTTGCCTCAAGAACTAAAATGGCAAGAGAGTAGCTTGCAACTGACTTAGAGTTACAAATCACTTTACTGTTTCTCCTGAGCGTTGGACCTAATTTTAATAACTCAAACACGAAATGACATTTCCCCAATACAGTAAATAAATAAATGTGCCTCCAAAGGCACGTATCCCTGAATTTCTTCAATTCCTTCCCATTCAACAAAGTCAGGTCTTCCTCACTGAGAATAATTTTTTCCTTAAAAAAAAAAAAAAAGCAAAACAAAACCAAAAAAGCAAAAAACTCAACTTCCTCAAATCACCTGTCAAGATAAGTCGCTAAACCTTACTGGGGAGCGCTAATGGAGTCCAAGAGCACCTTTCCAGGAGGCTCGCGGCGCCCGTTTCGGGTTTGTTGCAGCGAAAGGCCTGCAGCGACTTCTGAAGCCTGCGCTCGAGTAGCAGGCAGGCCCTCCCTTCCCCCGCCCGCCCCTTCCCACCCGCCACCCGGGCTCTGCTGGTACCTGGTAAGGCTGCGAGTCCCCCCTCCGATCGTGACAGCTGAAAAACAGGAAGAAAGAAGGCGACATGAGACGCTGCGGGGGGCGGGGGAGAAAACGGGTCCCCCCCGCGCCCTCCCCGCGGGGCCCC